AATCTTTTACATGTGACATCTTCATGACATGTACTATCCACATGACGTGGGTGCTGTTGGAACAAAACTACTTTATACAATGTACCTTTCCAGCCGTCCACCCAAATGACTGTTATCCAATTGACCACCCTGATGTCTACTCAAATGGTCCAACCAAATGGTTGAGTAGCCAAAATAAATTATCTCCTTTTTTGGTATTAAACTAATTGCTTGCATAGTGGAAGTCACACTACTGATATAGTACATGAATAATTATCATTATCAAGCAATGAATATCATTATGTACAAATTCCAGCAGTGAATATCTTCTCTCATTTACTTTTTTAGCTGTATAAAAATTTGATTAAGAAAATGCAATGTGAAATTTCTCACAATAAATTTCCTAGCATATTGTCCCACATAATCAGCACATAATTTTTTTTGTATTTTTTATTATTTTATTTATCACTATTTTTATTTTTTCAGAAAAAAGTATCACTCCTGTAATGGATGATGTAGCTATGTCACCAGCAAGCACTGACAAAGCAACAGGTAATGATATTGCCTCATTTAAAGACAACTATTAATGCTAACTATTCATTAATTTAGGTACATCTAAATATGGTTCTTCTGAAAAAAGCTTTGAATTAACTAGCAAGTTATATGATCTACAAGATGAATTTGATGAGGCGATTCGAATAACGAAAAAGTCATTCAAATCAAGTGATCTACCTGAAATCATTGACTACCTCATTACACACACAATGTCACTACTTGGTCCTAACAAAAAACAAAAAACAATTGCAGAAGAAATTGCTCAAGCAGTTAAAGAAGAGTTTGAACACGTGAAAACGTTATCAGATTTATTTACATTATTACACCACAAATACATATCATGGTTCAACTACAAGCTAATGATAAAGCTTGTTGGAGTATTTCTACCCAAAAATTGTTCGTTAAAGAGAACTTGGTCGTCATATGAAGAGAAGTTAAAGGATTATTTTATAAACAGTGGTGGACTATTGAAAGATGCTGATGCTGTACAGTTTGGTGTAAAAGGTGTTCCTCCTGGTACACGAGTAATGATTGCTAAAGTTGATAGAGATGACTACACACTGGATGACATATTCTTCTTTCGTAGAGCAATACCAAAAGGATTGGATATTCCTGAATATGACCTTTACTTCAGTTTCGTCTACGATGGCTCTCTCTGTTTGGGTTACCTCATTCCTGAGTATCTTTATTCTTTATTATTTCCTCTAACTACAAAGCTACAGGAACAGTTAGCTAGGATTGGTATCACTGAATTAACATGTGGTGATGATAAATATGATCTAAGAAAGGTTTGTGATTTCTGTGTTGATGATTTAATTTTATTAGTTTTAATTTTACAGTTCTCAATAAAAGAGGTTAAGCACTCATCCACTGATATTGGTAAGTACATGAACTGACCTTTAGTCAATCCCTCTTGTGGGCAATGGTCAAACAGCATTACATACATGTGTTAATAATAATATTCTTCATTTATAGATATATGTG